GAATTGTTTTAGACTGTCGGTTTCCATGTGTTCTGAAATCTCCAGGCTTTGTAGTCATTTCTGGTGGAGTAAAGGGGATCAACAAGCTCAGGGTTTGCATTGAAAAAGTTGGGAAAAACTTTCTCTGCCAAAATCTGATGGAGGACTTGGCTTTCATGATATCAGAATGCAAGAAACTATGGAGGATTGCAACAAAACCTGAATTTCTTGTTAGCAGAGTTCTAAAGGACAGGTATTTTCCTAATACCTCTATTTTCATGCTCAAAGGACTCAAAGTGGCTCTTGGTCTTGGAATTGTTGGCTTCATGTTCTTACTATTTTTTCTAAATGGTTGAGGACAGAAATTAGAAATGGTGAAACAACAAGAATTGATGACTTGAATTGGGTCCCAAATCTCTCTAAGCCACAACCAGTTCTTTTGGAACTTGCTAGAGAACATCTTACATGGGTTAAGGACCTGATTCTGGACAATGGCCATGTGTGGAATGAATGGTTGATTAGGCTAGTCTTTGATGCTGAAGATAGCCATGACATACTGAATATTAAATCCCTTAAATCAAATAAGGCTGACAGGCTCTTCTGGGGGCTTGATAAGAAAGGAATCTTCACTGTCTCCAGCACCTCAAGATGATCAACCTCAGACAAGCTCCAACTCTGCTAGCATCAGGAAAAGCATACTTAGATGTTGGCAATTGAAGGTACCAGGCAAGCTCAAACATTTCTTATGGAAATGTCTCACTGGAACTCTTCCAGTTGCTGTGCATTTAAGAAAAAGAGGTCTGGATGTTGATACCACTTGCAAGTGCTGTGGTGAAGCCCTTGAGTCAGTTGAGCACTTGCTCTTGCACTGCTCTAGAGCATAACAGTTCTGGGAGATAGCCCCTGTCAATTGGGATAGAATCTCTTATGCAGCAGACTCCTTTAGCTACTGGTGGCAGCAGATCAGTTTCATTGACAACTCAGACATTTTAGAGGCCCGGATCTAATTGACAACATATATGCTATGGTGACTCTGGCGATCAAGAAACCTTTGCCTCTTTCAAAACACTTCAATGCCTACCCACATTGCTTGCAGGCTAGCACACAAGGAATGGCTGGAATTTTCATCTCTTGTTTAACTCTTTTGAACTGTCTGTCTTTCTTTTCTGGTT